TCCAGAAACGCAGGGCTTTGACTCTGGGGAATCATCTCAGCCAGCAGATACTGAACCTTCTTCTGAGACCCATGTACATTTGTGCCAGCAACACAAATGTGGGTGTGACACATCCTGCCTCCCCACCGAAGGCAGGCAGGTCAACAAGTGCCCATGGCTCAATTTATTGAGGCAGGGCTCTCCTGTGAAGAATCAGGACAACTTTAGAAAAGAGACAACATTGACTTGGGTATTGACAGCTGAGTTGGAGTCCCTGGGAAAAGGGTATTCCAGATACCCCATGGAGGGATGGTCACATAGCAGGCCGCGATAGGCTGCTGCAGCCTCCAGCAGGGTTCTCCTCAACTTCTGACTTACCTGGGCCTGTCTGTGCCCCTGTCTTCAGGTTCCAACAATATAGGGTGCCCACTCACTCTTCTGTCCTGGGCTCATGTCTTGATACATAGTAGCCCTCAGTTTGGGGACAACCCCAGAACACTAAGCACTCAGCAAGACTATATGCACACTTGTAAGGGCAAGCTGTGTCCACACACCCATTGTCCAGGTCTGGAGGTGGACATCCCCTTTCTGTGCCTTGCTGCACAGTGAAGACAGATCCTATGCACAGGGGTTCAAAACCTCCCAGGTGTCAGAACCACTGTGGACATTCCCTTGGAATACTTGCACACGTGGGCATGTTCCCTGTGGACATCCCTGTTCTCTACCGGAACACTTGCAATTTACCCGAGTTTGTTAGAATTTGACTTCACACAGATCCCCACAGCCTGTTATTCCAAAGCCCATTGCACAGTAAATTTTTTTTTTTAAGGATTTACTTATTTATTTATACAAGCACTGGGTACAGTCAGAAGCTCGGGAGGGCGAGAGAATTCACCAGAGCCAGAGCAGGGAGCAGGGAACAGAGCAGGCAGAAGGACCGAAGTACACTGCTGAGGGGAGCAGGGGCGGCAGGATAGCGCTCAACCTCTGGGCCACCGGGGAGGCCCTGTACAGTAAATGGTTTTCAGGCTATTCTGCCCTCCCACCATTAGGATTGCCCTGCCTGATGGGGAACCTGCAGTTGTTACATTGTTGTGTTTATTACTTCTGTAAGCCATGGGAGGAGTATTGAGATAGTCACCTAGAGAAGAGAAGAGACAGAGGCAGCAGAGAGAAGGAGAGAAAGAAAGCTAGAAGAGAGAGAAAGAAGGCCTGAGAAGCCCAGGGTGAAGACTTGCTGGGGGCCTGGAGGCCTCCTGGCCTCTTGGTCCCCCAGCACCCCTGCCTGCCATGTGCCTGTTTGCCACACTACATGTAAAGCTCAATAAAAGCCTGAGAAATCCACCGAGGGCTCCTAGACTCCTCCTTTACCTGCCAGTCTGCTCAGATCATAGACATCCTGCTGGTTCCCATCCTGCCCATACACCCATGAAAACATTCCTATGGGGACTGACACCCCCAGTCTCACCCCCAAACCTGCATAATCATTCTCAGGCTAAAAAAAAAATTACTTAAACTTACATTGCAATTTTACATTGCATCTCAGAAAAAATAAAATCTCTCTCTCTCCAGCCCTCTTTTACTCCACTGTATTGAAGTATGGTTGACATACAAAAGCTACAACATCCAATGTCTACAAAAAGAGAGTTTGCAACTATGAACCAGAGACACACTATGGGAGGTACAGGGAAAGGAGGGGTTGGGGTCAAAATAAGGGGGTTGCAATTGTATGGGGAATATAAAAATAAAATTTAAAAAAGAGAGAGTTTGAAGAAATTCGTATACACCTAATTAGTCAACACATTCAAGACCATAAACTTTTCTCCCATAAAAGTGTTGTACTGCAACAATTTAGTCATTTATTTTCTTTCATTTATTTTCAATCTTCTTACATCATTGTTCATTTTTGTACAGTATTTGATTTTCCCCCATAGTTCTCCCACCACCACGGCATCTGTGATCCATCACCACAGTCCCTTGTGCTCTTCCCTCTCCTGTTTATTTATTCATTTTTTTTTCTTTAGTGGTAGGAGCACTTAAAAATGATACTCTCAGCATATTAACTTAAGTTGTACTTAATTTCAAATACAAATACTAGCCACCGGACCTATGCTCCAGGGGCTCTCCAGATGCTCTTCTCCTCACACAGCTGTATACTCTTCTCCAGTCCTCCCTGTCTCCTTTCTCCCAGCCCTGAAAGCGCCATTCTACTTTCTCATCTTGTATCTTCATCGACAGTTCTGGGATTCTATAGAAAATACAATCATGCGATATTTGTTCTTCTGTGTCCAGCTGATTCCCTATACAGTAACATCCCTTAGGTCCATCCATACTGGAGTAGACTTCCCCCTTTGCCATGGCGAGGAATTTGCCACAGATGCCACCTCCTTGGGTAGAGTTGCACGGCCAAGCTTCTTGTTCACAGGTGATCACATCCAATTTTTTATTCAATGCAAATAACACAATCACTCTGGCATTGTTATGCTGACTGACTGCTTCTCTGGCTGAAATGATGGCAGAGTAGTCCCAGAAACTTGACTGGAAAGAAAAATAACTAAGACACAGGAGGAAGAAACACGTGGAGTCTTCCTCCCAGAGATGAGGAGGCAGGGATTAGCTCACAGCTGGGGCGCAGAGGGTCTCCTAATGAGGGTCATCTTGGAGCTGCAGCCAAGCCAGCTTGAGAGTTCCTGCCACAAGCAGGCTCCAGCTCTGAGGACCTCTGCTAGGGGGACAGGCTCTCAGGCAAATGTCTTCTCTCCTTCCACAAGCACATCCTGCTTCCTGAGCCTGGGGCCTAGAAACCCTCCTTGTTCTTCACACCAGACACCTGTTCTGATCTTTCCTTGAGGAGGGCCCACCCCCTTGCTCTTACAATTGAGTGACTTCTTATAAAAGGGTAATCCCCAGGGAAAGGGGAGGTTCCATGTTCCCTGCTCCACCGTCAGGAATGGTGGAGCTGAGCACGGAGGGGAAGCAAGAGAGGACAGAGAGAAGGAAAGGAGGAGATCAAGAAAAGGATCTGGAGGAGGCAAATGGACCAGAAATATGTGCAGAAGTTGCACTTGCTGCTTTGACTGGGATTTGTATGAGAGGCTGATAGTTAACAAGTTTGTCTTTTCCTCATTTCTTGCAATTCCCCCTTATCTAGCATTAACAGGACTAATAGCTTGTCTTTCCCATTTGTTGCAGCTTCCCCTTCCCTTAAGATGAATGAGTTGACACCCATCGGCCTCTGTGAAGACCCCTTCCCCTTACCCATCTCTTTGCTGACACTTTCCCCCTCCCCTTAATGAATATCAGCTGGTACCCATCCAGATCCCCTTCACAATCTCCTACCCATCTCCCCCTAGTATAAATACCCCTGCCCACTGCCAAAGAGCAGGAAGGTGGTCTTTCAGACATGAGTATGCTGCCCTCCTCATTTGTCGACAAATAAAACTGCTTTCCTTTTCCTCAAACTCTTTTTCCTTTTATTGAGGGAAACTGAGGCCGGCGTTTGGTAACAAGACTTGGGAGACACAGAAGGAGACACTTGAAAAAGATGTGGGTGAGAGACCTGAGGGAGGCTGACAATGGCAGCTCTTATCTTGATTTTGATTTTGCTCTTTCCTTCCAGACTTTTCTGGCTGTTTCTGTCCCTTTTCAGTGGGTCCTCACAGAGGTGCCTTAGACTGTGTCAAGGTTTTAGGCCTCAGCAGCCCTGCTTTGGTCCAATAGTATTTGGCGGGTAACTTTGTGTGATTCATGTGGAAATTATTTTCTCTATTCATTCCCTTCTCCTCTTTATATCATGCTTATTGTATTAAAGTTATTTTCTATTGAAGAACTTAGAGGTTAAAGTATAGTTTGTCTTGAATGCGGCAATAACAGAACATATATAGAGCAAAAGGTTTGGGGGACCCAGGGTGCCCCTCATCCCGCCCTGTAATATTCTCAGTTGTAAATTGGCTGCATCCACCACCAGGAACACACTCTGAACACTGCTACTCACAGTTTGGTCCAGAGACCAGGAATGTCAGCACCCCTGGGAGCTGCTTCAAATACAAAATGTTCCAGCCCTGCCCAGGACTACAGAGCCCCAAATGCCAGGGAAGGGAAAGGACTGAGCACATGAGCTGAAGTCTTGTTTGGAAAGAACATGTTCTTAGTCCCTCCAGAGCCCCACCTGCTGCTACAGCTGCAGACTGTGATGGTGTCCTTTATAGAAGCCACTGCACACTGGAAATTGTGCCCCCGCAGCCATGACCACCTTGGCCACCAGGGGGCACCATGCCACCCTACTGCCCCAGCACAGCCTCCCAGGGTCTCCTTGGGTTCAGTCTCTCCCTCTGTCTCTGGCTCCCTTCCCTCCATGTCCCTGTTCCACTGGCAAATTCCTCCAAGGGGAAACTTGCAGGCCCAGAGAATGTGAGTGCCAGGCTCCTGTATACAACTTTGAGGCGGGGAGGGGGGGGCCTAGACATGTGCCCACAAGCCCCCCTCACTGAGCACAGGGTAGACCCTCAGAGCTGAGAGTTCTGCCAAGGAAGCTCCTGGTCCAGCCACAGGCCTGGCATCAGCCTGCAGCACCTGGGGAGCTTGTCTGTCAGGACTCAGCAGGGGCTGAGAGCCAATGGGACAAGGACACAGCTGGACACGTTGAGAACTTGGTCTACTACTCCTTGGGCAGATCTGCCTTCTGTCACCCACAAAGACAGTTTATCCTTTTTGACTGTGACCCCCATTTTCTCACTGCCCTCAGCCTCCTGTTGTGCCCAGGAGTCACCCTCCACTTCCCCCTGTGCCACGTGCTCCCAGGTGGCAGTGTCTGATTCCCAGGTGTCCAGACGAAGCGCTCTCTCCCCATGGAGGCTCTGCATTGGCTAAAGGGGCCCCCACCTCCATGGCTGGCCCTCCCCACCCCAACTCGCCTCACCCTGTCCCTCTGTGCTGACAGGAGACACTGTAACAGCCAGAGTGGAGGAGGCAGGCCACACGCGGGGAGGACAGGGTGGAGCAGCTGAAAGGAGCCCGGGGGAGACGCTGTCCTGCAGCAGATGATTGGACCAGCGCCCAGGGCACGCTCAGGGCGGGAGCCTGAGCTGGGAAGGACAGAGGCCGCGGGTGCCCGGCTGCTGGCTGCTGAAGCCATGCGGTGCCAGCCCTGGAGGTGGGCTCTGCCCTGGGAGGTGCTCCTGCTTCTCCTCGGTCCCCAGCTCGCAGTGACTCAGGGCCTGAGAACCCAAGAGGAATATGACAGAGATGTCAAAGATGTCATGAGCCAGTATTTCCCGGCCACCGTGGAGTACGCACTGCACACGTTCAACATCCAGAGCGAGGACACGAACGCCTACAGGCTGGTGCGCATCCTGAATTCCTGGACAGAGACGGTAGGTGACCCAGCTTGCTGCTCAGGGGCCTTGACTTGACCGCAGTGGGGGTTGGGTGTGGGATCTGTCACTTGGATTTGGTCGCCATTTGAAGGCCATGAAACAATTTTCCTCAAGAGATCACATGGAAAACTTGAGTGCTTTATTCCTCTCCACGTCACATGTGTTTTCCACCATCATTACTTTTACTGAACAGGTCATGAAGACAATGCAAAATACAGTCCATGAGGGGCAAAGACCAGACAAAGGAAAGGAGGCAGAAAAAAAATGTTGGAAGTGATAGAAGAATGAAATATTCCCAGGAAATAAGATAAAATGAATTACAAATACGAGAGAGAGGGGATCGGAAAGAGAGAGAGAGACAAGGAGCACTCTCCTCAGCTGAAAGTTGCTAGAGTACAGGCCTCTTCCCAGGTGCCTCACACACCGGGCTCCTCCTGTGTCCCCACCCACGTGGACTGATGGCATTTAGACTCTCCCCAGACCGTGGCCCCTCATGCAGAATGTTCTTGTAATGGCATCCTCAGAGAATTCAGCACGAGTCCATTTCCACCAGGGCTGCAGCATGGGTGAGGGGGACCATCCTGAAGGAGCACATCTGCTGTGTGTGTGTGAGAGTGTGCGTGTGAACATGCACGAGTGTCTGTGTGGGCATGCAGATGTGCATATGTGTGTTGGGGGGGTCTGGAAACCGCAGGCACATTATGTCTCTCCCTTGGGGCCTCTGGACAGAGCTGGCAGATGGGAGAGGGTTTACCTGCAGGGACCTCACATGTGATGTGTGAGTCTGTCCACTGCTCCTGCTGCCCGTGCTCTCCAGGCCTGATTTGACCCGAGTGCTCTCGGTCTGCTCAGAAACTCACCTGTGTGTTCTGGGTGATGGTGGGGTGCACTGGGAGCACATAGAAAGGAGGTAAGAGAATGGAGTGGAGATGAGCAAAGCAAATTCATGGGAGAATATTTTCCTGAGGTCACTGCCTGACCGTGTGTGTGTCTGTAGTTGTGAGGTATTATTGCCCTAATCTGGGAAGGGGCTGAAGGGAGGTGGTGTTCATGGTGTGAGACTTGGCCTGCACCCACCCCAGGGTCCCCACCACTGTTCTAGACCCCCAGCCTGGTTTACCCCCATTAGCTGAGGCAACGCAGGAGCGCTGGGCCCTCCCTGCACTATGTCCTCCCTGTATTGTGTCCTCCCTGTACTGTGCTAGCATCACTAAGGGCACAAGGGGTTTCCACATTTTCTCTATATGTTCACAGATTATGGATATGGTCATATTCTCCATGGAGCTGCTGCTTCGCAGAACCAGGTGTGGGAAATTTGAAGACGACATCGACAACTGCCCCTTCCAGTCAAGTCAACAGCTTAACAATGTAAGACACCAGCTCTCCTCAGGGGACAGCCGAGGAAGCCTCAGGGGGAGCAGTGGTGTGGAACAGAGTCAGGGCCGGTGCTGGGCACATGGGGCAGGGGCAGAGACCCTGCTAAGCCCACTCTGGGCTGCATGAAGCAAGGCAGGCAATGCCTAGTCGCCCCCTGCAGGCCCCTGTCCAGTCTGAGATCCTATTCGGCCCACTCACCCCCTTCCAGGTTTCTGCAAAAGGCCTACTGGGTTTTGATTGCTCCTTACCTCTTCCTTTCCGGCATTCTGCTCTAAATATGGAATTTCTGTCCTTGTAAACTATCTAGCTCTCTCCCTGGGTCAGAAGAAGGAATATGTAGGACCCACACTACTTTTTGAGTGGCTTGTTTAAATATCCCACTGGCAATGATGCAAAAACTGAGAAGTGAATGATGAGAGGACCCCATCCAGCCATGCCCTGGTCCTTGCAGAGCACATCTACTGTCACAGGGTGAAGTTGTGGTGAATCTTGGTGTGGGAAAGCTTTCTTGGGGTAGGGGAGCCTTGCGATAGGGACCCATGGAGCGGTGACCCCTTTTCTGCTTTCAGGATAGGAATCATGCAGGGACAAAGTGTGGTTCCCTGGAACCAGCCCTGGAGATGGGGAGAATGACTTGGGTGGTCCTCATGTCAGGAGAAGGTCATTGATCCAGAACATCCAGGACTCGGCTAAGATGGTGGGGCTTGATCTAGAACATCCAGGACGTGGGGAGGTGGGGGGACTGCATCTGAAGCCAGAGCCTGCAGCCCAGCTGCCCACCCCAGGAAGCAAGGTGGGGGTGGAACCTCCATTAGAGCTGGAGCCCAACCTTACAAGGCTCCTCCTGTGAACCAACACTGCACCCCCGTGCTTATTCCCTCAGACCTACAACTGCTTCTTCACCATCGGTACTCACCCCAGGGAGAAAACCTTCCAACTACTGTACAAGACCTGCTTTGAGATTATATCTGAGTGAGTGAGATGACACCTTCCGATGGTCTGCAACTCTGCGCCTAGAAATCAGCATTCCTGCAGGCGGCCTGCGGTGGCTGAGCAGCACCAAGCTCTGTGTTGCCTTTCTCTGCAGGAGTCTGGGTCTCACGTGTCCGCGTGATGGAATTCCTCCCTGTGCACCCTCATCCTGTAGATCATTAAACATCAGCATTTCAAGACGCTCATGTGATGCTTCCAGAGGGGGCGCCGTGCACTGATGGATCATCCCAGAGGGCAGCCTGGGAGGCCCGGCCTGGGTTTCTCCTCCCAGGGGCCTCCTGGGTGGCTCCAGGAGGCACATCCCAAGAGCACAGGTGTCTGACCTGCTGTGTCAGGGCTCCTGAGCGCTGACCTCTGTCTAGAGGGGCCATGACCCTGTCCTCCTGTCAGGGAAACCAGAGAGTAGGATGCACCCAGCCAGGGCCATTGTCCCTCCAGGACACAAGTGGTCCCTGTCTTGGAGGACTTGCCTACATATACCCCATCACGGCAGCTGGGAGGAGAGAGGAGGTTTCCAGTCTCCACTCAGAAGGAGACCTGGCAGCAGCATCTCCTGGAGCCTCTTGCTCAGTCTTGATACCCCCCAACCTTTACACAAGGAGACTGCATTTTCACAGAATCCCGGGGAACATGGGGAGTTCCAGAGGCACTTGTCACCAGAGGTTGTGCAGACCCTGCCCTTACCTCCCAGAAGTGGACTCTGCAAACATTTTCTGCAAAGAGGTGAAAAGTAATTTCCAGGCCTTGTGTCTGCTTCTCCATTCCCCCACGTTGCCTCTGGCCTAGGGAATCCTCTGGTTTCTGACAGGAAACACAAACAGTTGTGGTTGTGTTGCAGTGAGAACCCGACAGGTTCACAGTGGACCCTGTGTGTGATCCCTGCCGACTCTCTCTACCCTGGACCATGGGTGAATGCAATGTTATGATGACTGAGAAATGCATATTTGATCATGCAGATGATCAAAATATATTTCTTGTACACATTTTGTCTTCATCCACAGTTCCCAATTCACAGCTCCCAAGAGCCATGGAATTACCTTAGAGTGCTAAAGATGTCTTTGGCTATGTGAATGAGGTGACTTTTGAAGCACCTAAATGAGGGCCGGTTGCTAGGAACGAATCCTGTTATCTAGGGTTGGGACTTTGAGTCTCACCCCAGACCTTCTGGAGAGGCAAGGGGCTGGAGATTGAGTGCTTCTGCCAGTGTCCAGTGATTTACTCAAGCAGGCCTATATCAAGAGCCTCCATAAAAACACGAAAGGAAGCCTTCAGAGAAAGTCTGTGTGGGAGAATACCTGGACATTTGGGGAGAATTGTGTACCTAGAAAGGGAATTTTAATTCTACCTTTTTCTGCAAGCCTTGCCCTGTGCAGCTCCCTTCCTGTTCCTGGTTGATTTTCTTTCTCATTTTTGAGTGAGTCAGTGAGTAAAAAGATGCCCTGCATTCTGTGGACTGTTCTAGCAAATAATTGAACACAAACAAGGGACCGTAGGAAGCTATAATTTGTAGCTGGTTAGTCATATGCACAGAAAACAGCATGGGCTTCAGACTGACTTCTGAAATGGAGGCTGAGTTGGTGCCCTTCAACTGTGCCACCCTTGTTCTCTCCAGGTAGAAAGAATGAGAATTGAGTTAAATTCTCAGACACACTGCTGGTTTCTGAAAATTAATTGTTTGGGGGAAACCTCCCTACACACCCATGTTGGAATTGGTTTGGAAACCCTATTTAGTGATAAATGCCATTTCCTGGTGCAGCCCACTGAGTCCCTTGGCCCCTGCAGCAGCTGGTTGGACCTAACAAATTCTCCTAAGCTCTCCAGGGAGCCACAGGGTGCTGGTCGGGCTCTGCCAGTTTCTGATCTTCCAGCTTTGCCCTGTCTTGAGGCTCTGTGCCTCAGTTTCCCATCTCCCACTTGGGGAGAACATCCATATCTTTCCAAACTTGTGTTGTTTGTAATGAAGTTCAGGCTTATGGTATAAAAGTACTGTTAGGTGGGGTCTCCCCTGGTGGCGCAGCAGTTGAGCGCTGGGTTGCAAGGCTGTCCGCAGCCTCTGCAGCACCGGTTAGCTCCCTGGCCGCCGGCGAGGGTCACACACACACACACACACACACACACACACACACACAAAGTACTGTTAGGTGGAAAGTTCTCCTGTTACTCTTGTTTCGGCACTTCATGTTTACTCCTATATAAACATTCCTTACTGGGGACCAATGTTTACACATACATCACTCGCTCAAAGGTAATGTTTTATGGCAGTGGTGATAGAGCACCTGGCTGGACTGAGTGCTCAAAGCAAATCGTCTGTAGTGATACAGACATAGGTTATGTGATGGGCAGAGAAACAAACTATCAGTTAGCTCCAATACTCATGGAGCTATATCCAAATTTTTCCCTGGAATTAGAATATCGCTGTCACAAACAACACCAGCAATGCACAATCAAGTTGGCAGATTTTAACACATCTGGGATCAGTTATACAGAGTAGAGAAGAAGTGGACAATGCAAGACTTAGGATACTCCATCAGGCTTTGGTAAATCTCTCCACCCTATGAGAATGTTAAATTTTAAAATAATGATCTGATGATCATGAAATTAAGTGTTAAAAATTCAGTTCTTGGCATCCCAATGGTAATATTACAGCTGGTGGGTGTTTGCACTTGTGGCAATATGACTCACCCTACACGGGGCCCTGGAGGCGCATCAGTGTTGGGGACAACTATGGTATATAGGCCAAATCCAGGTCACTGCCCTTTTTGTTGGAAAACAATCATTCATCTGTGTGCTCACATTGTCTGTGGGGCTTCCCTGTTACAGGATATTGAGCAGTTGAGAATGAGACAAATTGTCCACAAACGCCAAATAGCCACTCTTCACCTACTACAGAAGAAGGCCCTGGGCTCTCTAGCGGGTTTGGGCAGGGTCTGAAGAGATGTGCATTGGTGCCTCTGGAACACCCTATGATTCCTGGGATTCTGTGAAAATGCAGTCCCTTGTGTAAAGGTTGGGGGAGACTGAACACTTCCAAGAGACTCCAGGAGATGCTGCCGGGTCTCCCTCCGAGTGGAGACTGGAAAACTCCTTCCTCCTCCCAGCTGCCGTGATGGGGTATATGTAGGCAAGTCCTCCAAGACAGGGACCACTTGCGTCCTGGAGGGACAATGGCTCTGGCTGGGTACATCCTGCTCTCTGGGTTCCCTGGCAGGAGGACAGGGCCATGGCCCCTCTAGACAGAGGTCAGCGCTCAGGAGCCCTGACACAGCAGGTCAGACACCTGTGCTCTTGGGATGTGCCTCCTGGAGCCACCTAAGAGGCCTCTGGAAGGCGGACCCCGGGCCGGGCCCCACAGACTGCCCTCTGGGATGATCCATCAGTGCACTGCCCCCCCCCCTCTGAAATCATCACACAAGCATCTTGAAATGCTGATGTTTAATGATCTACAGGATGAGAGTGTGCAGGGAGGAATTCTACCACGCGTGTACGTGAGACCCAGACTCCTGCAGAGAAAGGCAACACAGATCTTGGTGCTGCTCAGCCACCGCAGGCCACCTACAGGAATGCTAGTGTTCTGAAGAGGCCAGGAAGGGATGTAGAACTCAGGGGAACCCCTCCAAGCAGGTCTTGTTTAGTAGTTCAAAATGTGTTTCCCAAGGGTAAGTGCCGATGGTGAAGAAGCAGGTGACAATCTGAGGGAACAAGCACAGGGGTGCAGTGTTGGTTCACAGAAGGAGTTTTGGAAGGCTGGGCTCCAGCTCTAATGGAGTTTCCACCCCCTCCTTGCTTCCTGGGGTGAGCATCTGGGCTGCAGGCTCTGGGCCTCTTGTGCAGCCCCTCGTCTGAGTCCTGGATTTTCTGGATCAAGGACCCTCTCCTGACATAACAGTAACCAGTCATTCTCCCCATCCCGGTGATCCCCTGCAATCAGATTTATCCGAGTCTAGAGGTCAGCCAGCAACTCCTTCCCAGTGCAGCATTCTCAGAGGGGCCCCAGAATGACAGTCACCACCACTTGTCCCCCAGAGCAATAGTCGCAGCTAAGCAAATTCCTGGGAGGAGGGAGGGGGAGAGGTATCCTCTTGGTTTGGTCAGTGCCATGGAAGCTGAGAATGGGCCACTCAGACAAAGGTTATGGCGGTAGGTTCTCACTTGCTCCTTCTCCTGAAGGCAGGGAAGGAGTGAGTAAAGGGCAAGGAGGGAAATCCAGAACTGGGACAGGATCCAGAACACAACAGGACTGATGCATTCAGCCCCACAGGTGTAGGCTCCTGAAGGGGGTGAGTGGGCAGAATAGGATTTCAGACTGGACAGGGGCCTACAGGTGGATCCTAGGCATTGCCTGCCTTGCTGTGCCTTCATGCAGCCCGGAGTTAACCTAGCAGGGTCTCTGCCCCTGCCCCATGTGCCCAGCACAAGCCCTGACTCTTCTCCACACCACTGCTCCCCTGAGGCTTCCTTGCCTATGTCCCCCAAGGGGAGCTGGTGTGTCTTACATTGTTCAGCTGTTGACTTGACTGGAAGGGGCAGTTGTCGATGTCATCTTCAAATTTCCCACACTTGGTTCTGTGAAGCAGCAGCTCCATGGAGAATTGGATCATACCCACTGTCTGTGAACATATAGAGAAAAAGTGGAAACCCCTTGTCCCCTAAGTGCTGCTCCTGAAGAACATGCAGTGCAGGGAGGGCCTCGCTCAGCTCATGGGGATGAACCCAAGCTTGGGGAGTCCAGAGCAGAGAGGCACATGGGCATGGTGGGGGCCCTGGGGTGGATGCAGGCCAAGTCTCACAAATTGAATGTCACCACCTGCAGCCCCATGTCCCCATGATGCCCCTTCCCAGCCTAGAGCAGAAAATATCTCACAACCACGGACACACACATGGTCAGGCAGTGACCTCAGGAAAATATTTTCCCGTGAATTTGCTTTGCTCATCTCTACTCCATTCTCTTACCTCCTTTCCATGTGCTCCCAGTGCACCCCACCATCACCCAGCATGTACAGGTCTCGATCTCAGCAGACCGAGAGCACCCGGGTCAGATCAGGCCTGGAGAGCACGGGCAGCAGGAACAGTGGACAGACACACATCACATGTGAGGTCCCTGCGGGCAAGCCCCTCTCCCGTCTGCCAGCTCTGTCCAGAGGCCCCAAGGGAGAGACATAATGTGCCTGAGGTTTCCAGCCCCTCCCACACACACGCACACATACGCGCATCTGCATGCCCACACAGACACGCGTGCATGTTCACACGCACACTCTCACACACACAGCAGATGTGCTCCTTCAGAATGGTGCCCCCTCACCCATGCTGCAGCCCTGGTGGAAATGGACTCGTGCTGAATTCTCTGAGGATGCCATTACAAGAACATTCTGCATGAGGGGCCACGGTCTGGGGAGAGTCTAAATGCCATCAGTCCACGTGGGTGGGGACACAGGAGGAGCCCGGTGTGTGAGGCACCTGGGAAGAGGCCTGTACTCTAGCAACTTTCAGCTGAGGAGAGTGCTCCTTGTCTCTCTCTCTCTTTCCGATCCCCTCTCTCTCGTATTTGTAATTCATTTTATCTTATTTCCTGGGAATATTTCATTCTTCTATCACTTCCAACATTTTTTTTCTGCCTCCTTTCCTTTGTCTGGTCTTTGCCCCTCATGGACTGTATTTTGCATTGTCTTCATGACCTGTTCAGTAAAAGTAATGATGGTGGAAAACACATGTGACGTGGAGAGGAATAAAGCACTCAAGTTTTCCATGTGATCTCTTGAGGAAAATTGTTTCATGGCCTTCAAATGGCGACCAAATCCAAGTGACAGATCCCACACCCAACCCCCACTGCGGTCAAGTCAAGGCCCCTGAGCAGCAAGCTGGGTCACCTACCGTCTCTGTCCAGGAATTCAGGATGCGCACCAGCCTGTAGGCGTTCGTGTCCTCGCTCTGGATGTTGAACGTGTGCAGTGCGTACTCCACGGTGGCCGGGAAATACTGGCTCATGACATCTTTGACATCTCTGTCATATTCCTCTTGGGTTCTCAGGCCCTGAGTCACTGCGAGCTGGGGACCGAGGAGAAGCAGGAGCACCTCCCAGGGCAGAGCCCACCTCCAGGGCTGGCACCGCATGGCTTCAGCAGCCAGCAGCCGGGCACCCGCGGCCTCTGTCCTTCCCAGCTCAGGCTCCCGCCCTGAGCGTGCCCTGGGCGCTGGTCCAATCATCTGCTGCAGGACAGCGTCTCCCCCGGGCTCCTTTCAGCTGCTCCACCCTGTCCTCCCCGCGTGTGGCCTGCCTCCTCCACTCTGGCTGTTACAGTGTCTCCTGTCAGCACAGAGGGACAGGGTGAGGCGAGTTGGGGTGGGGAGGGCCAGCCATGGAGGTGGGGGCCCCTTTAGCCAATGCAGAGCCTCCATGGGGAGAGAGCGCTTCGTCTGGACACCTGGGAATCAGGTGACACAGTGGGAAGTGGAGGGTGACTCTAGGGCACAACAGGAGGCTGAGGGCAGTGAGAAAATGGGAGGCAGGTACAAAATTATGAGCTCCCAAAAGCCAACTTTGTAGTGATAATAGCACACCTGGGGTGGCTCTGGGAAAGAACTAAAGCATCTGCAGGAATACCACCCGCCTGAGCGGGATGGACTCTGGGCTGGGGTAATACCCCCTGAGACATTACTCTCTCTGTGCCCTAGGTCTGCCACCCTGTTAGCCAGCCTCCGACACAGAGACAGGGGAAAGGCAGTGGGTGCTTTCAGTGACAGCCAGCCAGTGCAGAGAGTGGGTGGGGCCACCCCAGGGGCTCCCTCTGTGGGCATGTAAGTGCTTTGGCAAAGATAGCAGTTGTGCTTGGAATCCTACATTATAGAGGAGCCAACGACGGAGACAGCAGCTAGGGTTCAGGAAGGACACCTGTATTCAGCATGAGATCACTTTTTCAACACAACGGGGTGCAGATGCAACATGGATAGAGCTCCGGGGGATGGGGTGAGGTGGTCATGAGAGCAGCCCATGCCAGGGTCATAGAGCCCTGTGCGCATCACGACAGCACAGTGTAGTTTCCAGGAGTCATTGTCACCACTGTTGTTATTAAATGTCCCCAGATGTCAGCCAGGGTGTAGCTGCAGATGGAACGGGCAGGAGACAGGCCTTGACTGGAGGGGCCCATGGAGCCCTGTGCGTAGGCACAGCTTCATGAGGACCTTGTCCACATGTTCACCCCTGCGACTCCTCACACACCTGGAACACCACATCATGTGCCATGGCCCTGATGCCAGTGTTGATCCCGGTCCTTTCTGAACACAGAAACACAGAGAGTCCAACTCAGCTTCCATCATCAGAGTAGAAATCTACAGCCACTCCTGTTAAAAGTCCCTTCTTGCAGACCAATTTTTTCACACACATCACGAGTCAAAATGTAACCAAAAGAATGTTCTGATAGCGATGATGATAGACCTGTTGGATTGAGAGCTAAAAGCTTCTGTAGCAATATAGATGCAAAGTATGTGATGATAAGAGAAATGACCACTATGGGATAAGATGGGCGGATTGTATCAGTGTCAGGGGTGAAGGGAACATCATGGGTCTCTGTCATTTTTCACAACTGTCTATGAGCCTACAGTTATGATGTTTTTGGAGTCAGTGGGTTTGGAGTGTGGGGTCCTTGGGTTCACTCTGGGAAAGGTTTCACCAGAGCTCCTGTTTCAGTGGCATGCGGTGAGTTTTTAGGCGAGTTTCTCCAGCGAGGGAGAGATGGTAGTTATATTTATTTAGTTAGTTAGTTATTTTTAAAGATTTATTTTATTTATACAAGAACTGGGGTACAAGCCAGAGGTGCGGGAGGGTGAGAGGATCCACCAGAGACAGAGTAGGGAACAGAACAGGCAGAATGACCAAATTACACTGCTGAGGGGAGCAGGGGGCGAGACAGGAGAGGTCTGCTCGCCATGTGGGTTGCTCCGAGGCAAGCGGGGATCGAACCGGCACTGCAGAGGCTATGGACAGCTTTACAGCGCTGCGCTCAACCGCCTGTGCCACCAGGGAGGCCCGGTAGTTATATTTAAAGGGCAGGTTTATTAGGGAAAGGGGCAGGAGAGTAAAAGACACTTGCATAGACACAAGTGGGCAGGCAGAGCTGCCCCAAAAGAGGCAGGTTTGCTGAGAGAGGCCTGCATGGTCACAGGAGGGCGGCCTTGAGGAGAGCTGCCTCCACTGAGGGAGGTCAGTGAAGAGAAGCCCCAGCATGGACAGGTCATGGGCAGGCAGGAAGCCTATTGCCCTGAGGAGGGAGAGAGTTGATGAAAAGAAGCATAGTCACAGGTGGGCAGATGGATTGCTGCCCTGTGCCAGTGCAAAGACTGCAGTGATACAGTCTTTTTCTCTTTGGAAGGGGCTCACTCCTTTGCAAAGTGGCTGTTTGTTGCTGATTTTGGATAACAAAAAGAATCCAGACCAACCGCAGAGTCCAGGATGGGCCCAATCTCTGTATCTTTACCCTCAGGTCTGTGCTCCCTTACAGGTTTGATATCTGCTTGAGCCTTATGTCTTGTGATAAGGCCCTGGAGCCTAAAGATCTTGGTTTCTATAGCTGGGTTAATGGTCACGCTGATTCCCTCTACCCCCACCTCCTTGTGTGAGTCAGGTTTTAGTCTTGTGATGCCTCCTTTAGGTTTTCTATTCTTTCCTCCATCAGTTATCGCAACAAAAGTTCATTAAAAGACACTATGAGAGGTTTATGCTGACATTTGAAATATGTGGCAGAAGAGATCTGTGCTGGCCTCACACTACCTCTCACTGGCACAGGAAAACCATCTCCCAGACACCTCGGTGCTTAGGGTGTGTTGCGTTAGCAACACCACACTGATAAAGGGGAGTCATGGAGCAGGCTATACAATGCAGGATGCTGATAAAGAGCAAGATCCTGGCCTTTTTATTCTTAGAATAATCATAGAGTGTCAGCTGTGTGGGAAGGAGGACAAAGAGAAACTGGAAAATGTGCTTTGTCATCTGTAGTTTCAGGGGTTGTGAGACTATCCCCCAGGCACTTTTCTCACTGCTTAATGACTCAATATTGTGATTGAGAACAAACCCTAGACCCCCAATCATGGTTTCAATCTTATCAAAACTTTCCACTTATCAGCTTCTGGGGTCCAGTCACACCTCAGGATGCATATCCCCCACAGGGTGATCAAGCTTTCTGCTCCTCATTGATATGAAAGGCACCTTGCAGAGTTGAGCTCCTATAACTGATTGATCGTGTAGTTCTGACCTTGTATAGGAATGCAGAACTGTAGATAACAATTAGCCGACCCATGAGTTGGGACTGTGTGACCAAGTTCCGGCTCATGACAATGAAAGAGAAGGTCTTGCCTGCACTGGCAGGCAAGAGCAAGATTGGGTGCGCCACACACGTTCTGCTGCTCTACTCCTTATAAATGGAGAGAGAAGAAATGTCAGGACAGCACTGTGAGAGGGTCCATTCAGGTGTCCATGTCAACAGCCCTGGGAGAGGCAGGCAAGGGCAGCCATTGACCCGTGTTAGATTTACACAGGTCAAAATCAAACCTTTGTTGTGTTAAGCAAGTGAGATTTGGGGGCTTGGGGGGCGGGGTCTAATTCCTTATAACTGCTATTCTGCCCTGACTACTAGGAAACTCTGATCTGAATGAAAATTCTTTTTGGAAAAGTGTGAAGTTCTAATAGGCAATCATGGAAAACAGAGAACCTGAACTCTCTAACATCTTTAAATTGATTTGAAATAATGAAGTTAGTTTGAATTCAAAACAAACTGTTCAAGAGTGGTCCTGGCACCTTTCACTAAATTTTCAAAGAGTAGATCATTTCTATCATGTGTATTTCCCCCAGATGATATAAATAGGGAGATAAAGCTCACAATTTTTTTTAGAAGATCGGTATTTCTTACTATCAAAATTTGAAAAGAACTGAATCAGGACAGAACGTATGCATGAGGAGAAGGACGTCAGTGCTTGGCATGCCCTGGGAATGGAGCATAGCTGGGCAAGGAAAAAAAGAGCTGGCCCAGCCTAGAATTTATACCATGATACAAGGATAGTTCAAAAGAAATTATTAATTTAATAAATTAAAGGAGAAAAATCATCTGTATCTTAATTGTTACAGAAAAAAGTAAAGAATTCAATGAAATACACTTACTCAAAAAGAAATTCATAGTTGTTCATAGTTGAGATTACTTTCCCTGAAACGGTGCTAACTTGAAATTAGCATTAAAGTAGTGACACCTGCCTTGCAGACTAACCTTCAACACTGTGATGAACCAAGTCATTAAGACATGAAGAGAAACATGAATAAATGGCATAAGAACTTAAAAGGAAGAAATAAAAAAGTAGGGCCTCCCTGGTGGCACAGGCAGTTGAGCGCCACACCGTGAAGCTGTCCCCAGCTTCTGCAGCGCGGGTTCGATCCCGGCGGCTGGGCGAGAATCCCACATGGCAAAGCAGACTCTCCTGTCTTGTCCGCTGCTCCCCTCAGCAGTGTATTTCGTCAGTCTGCCTGTTCTGTTCCCCACTCTGTCTCTGGTGAATCCTCTCACCCTTCTGTGCCTCTGGCCTGTACCCTGGTTCTTATTTAAAAATAAATAAATCTTTAAGAAAAAAGAAATAAAAAAGTAAGATTTGAAAAGGACTTGGTTTTCTTAAAAAAAAAAAAAAATCACACTATATCAAGTGAGAGGATTCAGCCATACTACATGGATGCTTTAAGGCACTTGAAAAAGCAATTATAAAAAATAATAGAAATAAAACAGAGTGTCATCATTTAAAATGGTAGAGGGGCCTCCCTGGTGGCACAAGGGGTTAAGACGCAACCTATGAGGCTATCCACAGCCTCTGAAGCAAAAGTTCAATCGCCCGACCGGGCAGGGAACTACCCACATGGCACAGCAGACCTCTCCTGACTCCCCCGCCACTCCCCTCAGCGGTGTACTTCAGTCAATCTGCCCATTTTGTTTTCCATCCTCTCTCTGGGGAGTCCTCTCACCACCCCAAACCTCTGGCTTGTACCCCAGTTCTTGTATGTATAAATAAACTAAAAAAAAAGAAAAAAGTAAAATGGTAGAAAGAAGAAAAAGTGGTGACTTACCTGTGAATAATTAAAAAAAATCAAGATAATTTGAAAGAGCATAACAACCTATTATTGGACCAGAAGAGAAAACCTGGGAGATAGAATGTACGTGTGGGTAGCCCCAGAATG